TTCAAATATTGTCATTTATCTTTTAAAGTTTAGATAGGAAAGTTGTGAATAGAGAAAAAAATTTACCAGGCACCCTGAACTAAGTCTATTTTTATGACTTTTAGTTCGAATGCCTTGTCATAAACATTAAGGACTTCAGGTCCCTTATTGTGGATTATGTGTCATCTCTTCTTTGTGTATGAGATGTAGATAACAGCAAGTTTAGTTTCTGAGACCAGTCATTTGGTAGGTCATTTGGATCCTTGGATCTCTGAAAATTGTTAATTCCTGCCAACCTGTCTCACTAACTACTAGCTTAAAAAGAGATGCATCTGACTCATCGACAGATTCAGAAGTTTGGCCATCCTCTTCATTATTATCCTGGTATAATACTCGACAATTATTCCAATACTAGAGGCCCGGTGCACGAAATTCATACACGGGTGTAGTCCCTAGGCCTGGCTGGCGATTCAAGCGTGAGCATCTGGCGTGGAAGGGCAGGTCCCAGATGACCTCTGGGCCCTGGGCAGCACCTGGGCCCCTGCTCACACTCTCCGTGGCCTGGCGCCACCTGCTCACCTGCTCCACCATCCTGCTTCGGTCCCTATCATTGGGGCCTATCGGGGCCAGCAGCGCCTCCACTGCTGCCCACTGTAAGCGCTGCGTCACCAACACCCGCCATGTTCTGCATCACCCCCTGGTGGTCAGCTCACATCATAGCGAGTGGCCGAACTCCCAGTTGAATGACTGCCATAGGGGACAATTTGCATATTGGGCTTTTATTATATAGGATTATTTTCAGTAACTTGGTTAAGTCTTTCCACCTTTTCCCTCCCTACATTTTTCTGTATAAACAAAAACATCAGCTGAATAAGCAAAGTAATCTAGAGAAAAGAAAATGTTATTAAGAAAATCATAAGGAAGAGAAAATGCATTTACAGTATTTATTGAAAAAAAATCTGCATATAAGTGGACCTGCTCAGTTCAAACCCATGTTGTTCAAGGGTCAGTGTATATGCATAAAGATTTTTTTTTAGCTATTTGCCACTGCTTCTTTGGTAAACTTGAGCTGCTTGCCAAAATAGGATAACAAGAAGAACGGTTGGGTCCATGGTCACAGGAGCATCACAGAAGTGCCTATAAATAGACAGGGGGAGCCTTCATGCTGACTCTATCAAATTGCTGAGTTATAACTGAACCAGTTAAAGACTAGTGAGCCAGAGAGATTCAAAATTCAGAGAGAGAAGGTGATTAGTAGTGCAGAGCTCTAGAGTATGGGTGTGTGTGTGTGTGTGTGTGTGTGTGTGTGTGTGTGTGTGATCCTCAGCATAGGTGGAAAAAATAGCCTTAATAAGTGGAAAGGAGGGGTGTTATTTTGGAGGCAGGAAGTCGGGGGAGTTCCTTTTAAAGCCCTCTGTTTTTCTTAAAGGAGGAGGTGAGGTCATTCTTAGAGGGTGAGATGGGAAGGTCAGAGATTTGTGGAGGTTTAAAAGGGCTGTTGTCGATAATAGGAAACACTCCTTGTAGCCTAGCAGTCCTGTGAGCCCTTTTGCAGGTGAACCACAGAAAGGTAAGGGAATGTGGGGTCAAAGTAAAGAACCAAGAGCTACAGGCTAGAGAAGTAAGAAATGAAGGCAGGAGGAACTCAGGCCAAAGACAGAGAGAGAAAAGAGGTCAAAGAACCTGTGTCTGAGGAGCAAACGAGGAAAGGACAGGGGGAGGGTGGGGAAAGCTTGGTCAGACAGTGTAAGTGGGTTGTCATTTTAAGTGTAAAAAAGAGTATGAGTTTGAAACAAAATTTAATATACTGCAATTTTGTGATCTTGCATTTGAACATTGGTTTTATTTGTAGATTGTGTTTTTCAAACTTTTAAAATGAAGTTTTAAATAGATCTACCTAGTTGAATCCTGAGTGGGTGATCTAGAGCCCTATGAACCCTCTGCCAGCTTTACACCCCCCACAGCAACCTCTGACTCCACAGAACACAATTTAAATATCCACTAAAGTTTTGAGACTGAAAACAATTTTATATGAAGTGAACACAATTCTGGCCTTGTTTGATAAGATGTGGGGTCACATACTTACTGTCAAAGTCATGACATCATCTCAAGAGCACATTCCTATATTTCCCATAGTGGATATGTATTACATTTATAATGTGTTCTAACTGGAGTCAGAAATGCAGTTGATCCTAGATTCAGTTCGATAATCTATCCAAAGGAGCTAACACTTGAGAAATCCCAAGAATGGGTCTCCCAGCTGTGGAAAAGAAGCAGGTAGAGCTAATTTTCTGTATTTTTTAGGGCTAACATAGTTCTCAGTCTGTCCTGTTTGCTTATTTAACATTTGTTAGAAAATAATTCTAGACCTCTACCACCTATATTCCAAAATATATTCTCGCCAAAACTGGTTTGGCTCAGTGGATAGAGTGTCGGCCTGCGGACTGAAGGGTCCCAGGTTTGATTCCGGTCAAGGGCATGTACCTGGGTTGTGGGCACATCCCCAGTAGGAGATGTGCAGGAGGCAGCTGATCAATGTTTCTCTCTCATCGATGTTTCTAACTCTCTATCTCTCTCCCTTCCTCTGTAAAAAATCAATAAAATATATTTTTAAAAAATATTCTCTATAGAGTAAAGCTTTAGATATAAAAAATTATAATATGTAGTTAGAAGAAAATATAAGGAAAAATTATATAAACTTGTATAAGAAAGGCAGCTTATAAACTTACTAGAGGCCCGGTGCACAAAATTCATGCACTGGGGGTCCGGGGTGTTCCCTCAACCCAGCCTGTGCCCTCTCACAGTTTGTGACCTCTCAGGGGATGTAGCAGTGTGCCAAGTGGCAGGTGGCCAGGGAGGAGCCCAAATTGGGGCCAGGTGCCACGCCGCTCCCACTCATCCTGGCCCGCTGTACCTGCTGTCGCGGCACAGTAGTGCTGCCGCGGAGTCGGAAGAGGTTCCCACAGTGGCAGCTGTGCTCGCCAGCGTGAGCCCAGCTTCTGACTGAGCGGCACTCCCCCTGTGGGAGCACACTGACCACCAGGGGGCAGCTCCTGCATTGAGAGTCTGCCCCCTGGTGGTCAGTGCACATCATAGCGACTGGTTGTTCTGGTCATTCCACCATAACGGTTGCTTAGGCTTTTATTATATAGATATCAGAAAGGCAAAGGCAACTCCGGAAAGTCAGAATCCCAAATTAAAAAAGACAGACCTATCTGACTACACAAAAGGACAAACAATAACAAGGGAAAAGACACAAAAGACATAATGAAAATCAGGACTGCTAAAAATATCTGCAGCACATATGACAAGCAAAGAGTTAATATCATTACAAACAATAAGAAAAAGACAAGCCAACCAAGAGCAAGGCAGACGAAGAACAGGCAATCCACAGGAAGGAATCCAAGTAGCCAACATATATATGAAAATAGTAGCCAGGAAAATAAAAATGAAAGTAACTATCAAACAGCATCCTGTGCTGGGAAGAAACTGTAGATATGGACACTCTCAAATTTACCATAGTGTGTGTGTGTGTGTGTTACTATAGCCTTTTTGAACAATAATCCAGCAACATCTATAGAATTTTAAATACTAATAAGATGAAAATACAAGTAAACATATACTTTATCTTTTAATTTTATGTTTAAATTGTTCAAATCTATAGAAAAGTTGCAAAAATAGTACAATGAGCGACCAGTCACCTACAGTCACCAATTGTTGACATTTTATTATATTTACTTTCTCTTTCTCTATCTCTCGCTATATATTTAATATGTAAATACTTTTTATTTTCAAGAATAAAAAATGTTTAATGATTTTTTTAAAATATATTTTATTGATTTTTTACAGAAAGGAAGGGAGAGGGATAGAGAGTTAGAAACATCAATGAGAGAGAAACATCGATCAGCTGCCTCCTCCATACCCCCTACTGGGATGTGCCTGCAACCAAGGTACATGCCCTTGACCGGAATTGAACCTGGGACCCTTCAGTCCGCAGGCCGACGCTCTATCCAGTGAGCCAAACTGGCTAGGGCAATAAAAAATGTTTAAATAAAAATATTTTAAACTTGAGATCTAGGTGTGTCAGTGTCAAATAAAAAATTAAATGGAGGGCAACCAGCTGGGGTACCTCCCCTGCAGCAGGAAGCTTTTCTGTAATAAAACTGCTTTTGCTAGAATAAATAAATAAATAAAAATTAATGGAATCAAGCTCTATGCTCTGCATAAAATAAACCCATTAAGACACATGGTTTGCCCTGACTGGTTTGGCTCAGTGGATAGAGCATCGGCCTGCGGACACAAGGGCCCCAGGTTCGATTCCGGTCAAGGGCATGTACCTTGGTTGCGGGCACATCCCCAGTAGGGGGCGTGCAGGAGGCAGCTGATAGACGTTTCTCTCTCATCGATGTTTTTAACTCTCTATCCCTCTCCCTTCCACTCTGTAAAAAATCAATAAAATATATATATTTTTAAAAAGACACATGGTTCTATTTTGGCAATGGCAACAGAACCCTATTAGGATAGGGAGTTTGCCTTATGCATAACTATATCTCCATTACCTAGAACACTGCCTAGTATATGGACAATTCTTAGTAACTATTTCCTGAATGAGTGAGTGAGTGAATTGAATGAGTGAGTAAATATGAAATTATTTGCATTTTTGTCTGTTTTCCATTCAGTTGAATATCTAACTCAGGTGTCTTAGCTGAATAAAATTTCATTTATAAATATGTTCTGAAGTAAAACCTATGGATTCCTGCATGGTAATTTATACTTATCAAAAATAATAATTGTGCCGAACCGGTTTGGCTCAGTGGATAGAGCGTTGGCCTGCGGACTGAAGAGTCCCAGGTTCAATTCCGGTCAAGGGCATGTACCTTGGTTGCGGGCACACCCCCACTGGGGGGCGTGCAGGAGGCAGCTGATCGATGTTTCTGGCTCTCTATCCCTCTCCCTTCTTCTCTGTAAAAAATCAATAAAATATATTTTTAAAAAATATATAAAAAAAAAAAATAATTGTTGTGCTCACTTTGGCAGCACATATGCTAAAATTGGAATGATACAGAGAAGGTTAGCATGGCCCTACCGCAAGCATGACACACAAATTCATGAAGCATTCCATATTAAAAAAAAAAATTGTTCTAGGTTTGTTCATTCATCATTTATTCAGTCATCACTCAGTCCCCAAACATTTACTGAGCATAGTTCCATTCCCAGCAAGATATTTGCTATGCGCCTGAATTAGAACAACAAAAGACATAGCAGTGAGGTGGGAGAGCAAACAAGTAAACAAACAATTAAGATGCTTTGATGGATTTAACAAAACTAGATAGTATTATGAGCACACAGGTTGAGAAACTAAACAAGCTTGGTCAATCAGGAAAGGCTGCTTAAGGGAAGTAATATTTACATTGCTCTTTAAGGGATGAGTAGGAATTAGGCGATGAATGGCATTCTAGTCAGAGGAAGCAGCATTCATTCATTTATATGTTTATTCCAACATTTACAGTGCTTATTGTGAGCCAGTCCATAGGCTCTAGAGATGTAGCAATGAACTACACAAAAAAGTCTATGCCATCTTGTGGGGAGAGATAAATTAACAAGTAAACAAAAAAATGTATAAATGACAAGAAGGATGAGGGATGAGAGAGGGCCTGGGGTGGTATGTGCATCTTAGATAAGATGACTAAGGGAAGGACTAACAAGGGAGATAACATTTGAGCAAAGACCTGCGTGAAGTAAGGGAGGGACTGTGAAGGAAGAGCAATAAGTGCAAAGGGCCCAGCCTATGGCTCAGTGGTTGAGTGAGATCACGGTTTGATTCCTGGTGAGGGCACATGCCCTAGTTGCGGGCTCAATCCCTAGTGGGGGGCATGCCGGAGGCAGCCAGTCAATGATTCTCTCTCATCATTAATGTTTCTATCTCTCTCTCCCTCTCCCTTCCTCTCTGAAATCAATATATATATACAATAAATATACATATATACATATGAAGGCCCTGAGGTGACCAGTGAAGCTAGAACTGAGTGAGTGGGAGAGCAATGCAACAGGAGATAAAATCAGAGAGGTGTAGTGGGAAATCACGTAGAGCCTAGCTCTCGGCAACTGGTGACTTTGATGAGATCACCAAGGAAATGAGGGTAGAGTTAGAAGTCTTAGAAGTGAGCAATATTTAGAGGTCTGGAAATACCAATATTTAGAGGCCTGAAAAAAGATAAAGACAGAGAAAAGGAAACTAAAATAGGAGCAAAACCAGGCATAAATGATGTTCTAGAAGTCTGGTGAGTACGTGTTTTAAATAAAGAAGCTATTTACTCTGCCAAAATATAGAATATTACTCAGGGAGCAGGGAGCAGATTCCGGATAGAGGGTGCAGAATCTGGGTAGAATGATGGCAGGAGAAAGTGGTCACAAGCAACTTTTTTAGTCAGATAACTTAACAACGATATTGACATGGAGGTCTTAAACATAAAGCGAGGCAAATGTAGAGTACTTTATCATCTTAAAATTGCTTTCCCACACACCGGCTCAGTTGTCCCTCTAAGCCAGCAATTTTCAACCAGTGTGCCACAGCAGGCACACTGATGGCCGAAAGAATATTTATTTATTTATCATTGAATTCACTTGGATGACATTGTTTAATAAAATAGGTGTCAGAGGTACAATTCTACCACAAGATTTTTTTTTCCTCCCAAGAATTTTAAAAACATGCAATACCTGACTATTTAGTTAGGGGCACTGACCTCTTTTCCCTTAGATTGTCAAATTGAAAAATGACCATGAAAAACAAGTAAACAAGTAAACAAATAAAAATTGACAGCAGCCAACACAATAATAAACGTCCGGCGTGAATAAATAAAAATTATACCTTTTTTTTTTGGTCAGTACAGAAAAAAAAATAATATATTTCTTGGTGTGCTGCAGAAATTTAGTAATTACTTTATATGTGCCATGAGATGAAAAAAGGTTGAAAATCGCTGTTCTAACCAGTCCAATGCAGGACAGCCTTAATTTTCTTTGTCTGAAGGTATTCAATTAACTTTATTAATTTGAATCCATTTTTAAGTTATCTAGCTATATAACCATGTTCAAATAATGATACTTTGCCTTATCTTTTAGAATATTTTCATATCGTAGAATGCACTGGCTAGAACTTCTAGCACAATATTACAGGAAAGTAGCTGCAATTTACATCATAAGCCAGAGTTAATCTTCTTTGTATAGAAAAAGCTCCTACCAAACACAGAGAAAAAGACCAACAAGAGAAAAATGAACAAAGAATGTGAATAGACAGTTCAGAGAGAAGAAAATACAAACTTAAACATTTAAAGAAAATCTTCAGCCTTACATATAGTGAGAAAAATGCTTAGATTGTCAAATGACAAGAAGTTTGTTAACACTGTGTGTTGCGAGGCTGTGGGAAAACAGGTGCCCTCATTTACTGCTGATGGGAATGTAAATCGATTTAATCCCTATAGAGGGCAAGTTGGCAACATCTATCAAAACAACAAATGCATATACCCTTTGACCCAGCAATACCAACCTTAGGAATTTACCCTTGGGACATACTTGCACATGTGTTAATTGACCTATGTACAAGATTATTCATTGCAGCATTGTTTGTAATAGAAAACAAAAAGAAAACAATCCAAATGTCTATCAATAAGGAACTGGTTAAATAAATTATAATATATCCATGAAATGGAATACTATGCTGCCAAGAAAGAATGATGAGCTAATGATACAGAAATATCTTTAGGACATATATACTAACTGAAAAAAAAAGGTGAAGAACTGTGTGTATGATATGGGTATGCTACCTTTTGTGGGGGAAAAGGGGCAAAATAAGAGCATATATTTTTATTTGTATATTCATAAAGAAATTCTGGAATAATACAAAAGTACTTATAATGGATTACCTTTGGTAGTCTGGGTGTGAGCCAATGGGAGACAGGAATGGGAAAAATTAACTGAACCTGCTTATTTAAAAAAAAAATGTTTGAACTGTGAGAGAACAGACTGATGGTTGCCAGAGGGGAGAGGCATTAGGGGGGTGGCTGGGTGAAAAAGGTGAAGGGATTAAGAACTACAAATTGGTAGTTACAAAATAGTCATGAAGATGTAAAGTACAGCATAGGAAATATAGTCAATAATATTGTAATAGCTATGTAAGATGCCAGGTGGGTATGTACTTGAAATATTGGGGGACCACTTTGCAAAGTATATGAATATCTAACCACTATACAGTACACCTAAAACTAAAACAAAGTACTATTGAAAGTAAACTTTAATTGAAAAATAAAATATTTTTAAATAAAATAAATTTTTGAACTGTGAGAATTTATTATCTATTAAAAAAAAGTGGGGAAAACATGTAAATGAGTTACATACTCAGCATTTAAAAATGTAAATCAATTTTTAATTGGCTATTTTAGGTCCTTTTTAAATTGCTAACAGGGCATGGTGAAGTGGCTGGACATGTTCACAGGGACTCACGTCAGCTGTTGTGTACATATATCTGTAGCTTTCTGCTTTGGGGCTGGAAGACCTGGATAAGCTGGATTAAATACTGCCTGTGGCCTTAGGCAAGATCCTTAACCACCACCTAGGGTTTTCCTGAGGATTGAATGAGGAAGATAATGTACAGGTTTTAGTTCAGAGCCTGGCATGTGCCAAGTGGAAAAGCGTTGTTTCCATGTTTTCTGAGAGTTGGTACTTGCTTCTCCCTTCTCCCAAAGCACCTGTTACCCACTTCCTGTCAAAGCTCTCCTGCTCTGTGCTAGCAGTTTGTTTGCAAGTCTGATCCCTTGAAGGCAGACACCCCGTCTTAGTGAACTGAGTCCCCATAGTGCCCAAACACATTGTCTGGCATGTAGTCGACTGTAATGGGCACACAATGAATGTGTGTTCCTTCATCCTACAAAGATCTATGAAGCACCTACTATTTGGGCAGGTACTGTTCTTGCTGCTGAGCATTAAAGAGACATGTGGTCCTGTTAATTTAGCAAAAGATAAAGACATTAAAAGATACTTGATTGCAGTGGGATGAGTGAGAAGAAGGAATAGTATCTAAAGTACAATGAGACCCTACAGGGAGAGGCTAACCTGGGAGTCTCCCTTAGGAACTGACTTTTAGAGAATTAAAAATAAATCTAATTTAGTTGCCAATATTATGAAGGAAACATTGCAGGCAGAGGGAACTGCCTCCCCAAAGGAAAGGGTTTTATGTCCTTGGGGAGCCAAAAGGCCAGCAGACCCTTAAGGAGCAAGGAGGAGAGAAATCTCTGCAGTGGCCCTGGAGGTAAACTTAATAAAACTTAACACTTGTATGCTTGATACTTGTGGGGGCGGGGGGGGGGGGAGGGTTGGAAAAGGTGAAGGGATTTAGAAGTACAAATTGGCAGTTATAAAAATAGTGACAGGAAACAACCTAACTGCCCATCAGCAGATGAGTGAATTAAAAAACTGTGGTACTTCTATACAATGGAATACTACGCAGCTATAAAAAAGAAAGAACTCTTACCATTTGCAACAGCCTGGATGGACCTAGAGAGCATTATGCTAAGCGAAATAAGCCAGTCCAGAGAAAGATAAGTAGCACATGATCTCACTCATATGTGGAATCTCATGAACAACATAAATTGATGAACAATCAGGTCGGGGGCAGGCTGGCCGGACCCCACTGTGCACGAATTTGTGCACTGGGCCTCTAGTAATATTATAATTATATAATGTCAGATGGGTAGTAAATTTATCAGGGTTATAACTTCATAAGTTATATACTTATCTAATCACTGTGCTGTACACCTGAAACTAATATAATATTGTATTTTTCAACTGTAATTGAAAAATAAAACAAAATCATAAAAGAACAATGAGGCACAGCCAGCATAGGTCAGTGGTTGAGCATCAACCTATGAACCTGGATGTCAGCCAATCAATGATTTTTTCTCATCATTGATGCTTCTATGTCTCTCTCCTCTCCCTTCCTCTCTGAAATCAATAAAAAAATATTTTTTAAAAAAGAAGAAGAACAATGAGTTTCCATTGAAGGATTTTAGGCAGAAGAAAGAATTGATTAGATTTTCATTTCTTAAAATCTTTCTGGCTGCTATGGAAAGATTAAGT